TATAACATTATAACATGATATAAAACTCAAAAAAGTTGATTTTACATGATAGTGCCCCTTTATTAGGACTAACTACCACTTCACAACAAGGACCAAATATTGAGCCTGCTTCAGCGTTTAATGAACGATACTTAATGCTTCATAAAATGTGTTCAAACTCATGATTTGAAAAGCAATAAGTTTTTCATAAAAAAGGTATTTTATTGGGAAGTAAAACTTACATGCTCTCTCGACTTAGGTTCAGCCTGCAGAGCGTCTTCTGTGCCAAGTACATGCGCCACACATTCACCGTTCATGCCGTTCTCATTCTGGGCCTCGGCTCCATGTTCACCAGCAGCTATCGCGTCCAAAACTTCTCTGTAAACACGGCCATCTGCGGTAAGACGTCAACGCAGAGCCATAGATTTCTGCAAAACTCTGATGACATTTTATTCTGGAAGTTTATAACGATTACTCCCTGCCTCTTTAGGTATTGTGATGATCCTGGTTACCATCATGAGCTTCATCCATTTGATCCAAGCATGTGTGGAGAAGACACACACACCTCTTGCAGTGGAGCCGAATGGGAATTTGGGGAACTGTGTGACCGTGTGTGATCTGGAAGGAAACATCAAACCCAAACAATGAGAGAAAGAAATCACAGCTTCACCAATTTATGTCCCCACCTCCCCATGTTTCTGACCCCTAAATTTGACAAGTTGCTTCCAGGAGTCACAGAAAGAGGGCAGCAGATAATCATTTTACAGCAAAAACATTAACTTGAAATAACATCTTTGTTGTACCAGGAGATGGCACACTGGTTTGTGCATTCCTTTTTTTTTTAAAAAAACTGAGTCTAATCAGTAAAAGCAGATACAAGTAGCCTGATATGAATATAGGATTGCCCATGTGACTCAGCACTTTATGATTGTTTTAAGGTCAAACACTTGAACAAAGCAAGGATTAAAATCACCACATATCCGTATTTTAAAAGAACAATAAAACCCTTTTAATAAATATGAGCACGTCTGTATTTTCAATCTCTCTCTCTCTCTCTCTCTCTCTCTCTCTCTCTCTCTCTCTCTCTC